CTCCTTCTGAGTCTCTACCTTGGTCACATTAGCAAGGACTAACAACATTACAGTTAGTTAACTCCTTCTGAGTCTCTACCTTGGTCACATTAGCAAGGTCTAACAACATTACAGTTAGTTAACTCCTTCTGAGTCTCTACCTTGGTCACATTAGCAAGGTCTAACAACATTACAGTTAGTTAACTCCTTCTGAGTCTCTACCTTGGTCACATTAGCAAGGACTAACAACATTACAGTTAGTTAACTCCTTCTGGGTCTCTACCTTGGTCACATTAGCAAGGACTAACAACATTACAGTTAGTTAACTCCTTCTGAGTCTCTACCTTGGTCACATTAGCAAGGACTAACAACATTACAGTGAGTTAACTCCTTCTGAGTCTCTACCTTGGTCACATTAGCAAGGTCTAACAACATTACAGTTAGTTAACTCCTTCTGAGTCTCTACCTTGGTCACATTAGCAAGGACTAACAACATTACAGTTAGTTAACTCCTTCTGAGTCTCTACCTTGGTCACATTAGCAAGGTCTAACAACATTACAGTTAGTTAACTCCTTCTGAGTCTCTACCTTGGTCACATTAGCAAGGACTAACAACATTACAGTTAGTTAACTCCTTCTGAGTCTCTACCTTGGTCACATTAGCAAGGACTAACAACATTACAGTTAGTTAACTCCTTCTGAGTCTCTACCTTGGTCACATTAGCAAGGACTAACAACATTACAGTTAGTTAACTCCTTCTGAGTCTCTACCTTGGTCACATTAGCAAGGACTAACAACATTACAGTGAGTTAACTCCTTCTGAGTCTCTACCTTGGTCACATTAGCAAGGTCTAACAACATTACAGTTAGTTAACTCCTTCTGAGTCTCTACCTTGGTCACATTAGCAAGGACTAACAACATTACAGTTAGTTAACTCCTTCTGAGTCTCTACCTTGGTCACATTAGCAAGGTCTAACAACATTACAGTTAGTTAACTCCTTCTGAGTCTCTACCTTGGTCACATTAGCAAGGACTAACAACATTACAGTTAGTTAACTCCTTCTGAGTCTCTACCTTGGTCACATTAGCAAGGACTAACAACATTACAGTTAGTTAACTCCTTCTGGGTCTCTACCTTGGTCACATTAGCAAGGACTAACAACATTACAGTTAGTTAACTCCTTCTGGGTCTCTACCTTGGTCACATTAGCAAGGACTAACAACATTACAGTGAGTTAACTCCTTGTGAGTCTCTACCTTGGTCACATAGCAAGGTCTAACAACATTACAGTGAGTTAACTCCTTCTGAGTCTCTACCTTGGTCACATTAGCAAGGACTAACAACATTACAGTTAGTTAACTCCTTCTGAGTCTCTACCTTGGTCACATAGCAAGGTCTAACAACATTACAGTTAGTTAACTCCTTCTGAGTCTCTACCTTGGTCACATAGCAAGGTCTAACAACATTACAGTGAGTTAACTCCTTCTGAGTCTCTACATTGGTACATTAGCAAGGTCTAACAACATTACAGTGAGTTCACTCCTTCTGAGTCTCTACCTTGGTCAAGTTCGCTAGGTCTAACAACATTACAGTTAGTTTACTCCTTCTGGGTCTCTACCTTGGTCACATTAGCAAGGACTAACAACATTACAGTGAGTTAACTCCTTCTGAGTCTCTACCTTGGTCACATTAGCAAGGACTAACAACATTACAGTGAGTTAACTCCTTCTGAGTCTCTACCTTGGTCACATTAGCAAGGACTAACAACATTACAGTTAGTTAACTCCTTCTCAGTCTCTACCTTGGTCACATTAGCAAGGACTAACAACATAACAGTGAGTTAACTCCTTCTCAGTCTCCACCTTGGTCACATTAGCAAGGACTAACAACATTACAGTTAGTTAACTCCTTCTGAGTCTCTACCTTGGTCACATTAGCAAGGACTAACAACATTACAGTTAGTTAACTCCTTCTTGGTCTCTACCTTGGTCACATTAGCAAGGACTAACAACATTACAGTGAGTTAACTCCTTCTGAGTCTCTACCTTGGTCACATTAGCAAGATCTAACAACATTACAGTTAGTTAACTCCTTCTGAGTCTCTACCTTGGTCACATTAGCAAGGTCTAACAACATTACAGTTAGTTAACTCCTTCTCAGTGCCTACCTTGGTCACATTAGCAAGGACTAACAACATTACAGTGAGTTAACTCCTTCTGAGTCTCTACCTTGGTCACATTAGCAAGGACTAACAACATAACAGTTAGTTAACTCCTTCTGAGTCTCTACCTTGGTCACATTAGCAAGGACTAACAACATAACAGTGAGTTAACTCCTTCTCAGTCTCTACCTTGGTCACATTAGCAAGGACTAACAACATTACAGTGAGTTAACTCCTTCTGAGTCTCTACCTTAGTGACATTAGCAAGGACTAACAACATTACAGTGAGTTAACTCCTTCTGAGTCTCTACCTTGGTCAAGTTCGCTAGGTCTAACAACATTACAGTTAGTTAACTCCTTCTGAGTCTCTACCTTGGTCACATTAGCAAGGTCTAACAACATTACAGTTAGTTAACTCCTTATGAGTCTCTACTTTGGTCACATTAGCAAGGACTAACAACATTACAGTTAGTTAACTCCTTCTGAGTCTCTACCTTGGTCACATTAGCAAGGACTAACAACATTACAGTTAGTTAACTCCTTCTGAGTCTCTACCTTGGTCACATTAGCAAGGACTAACAACATTACAGTTAGTTAACTCCTTCTGGGTCTCTACCTTGGTCACATTAGCAAGGACTAACAACATTACAGTTAGTTAACTCCTTCTGAGTCTCTACCTTGGTCACATTAGCAAGGACTAACAACATTACAGTTAGTTAACTCCTTCTGAGTCTCTACCTTGGTCACATTAGCAAGGTCTAACAACATTACAGTTAGTTAACTCCTTATGAGTCTCTACCTTGGCCACATTAGCAAGGTCTAACAACATTACAGTTAGTTAACTCCTTCTGAGTCTCTACCTTGGTCACATAGCAAGGTCTAACAACATTACAGTTAGTTAACTCCTTCTGAGTCTCTACCTTGGTCACATTAGCAAGGACTAACAACATTACAGTTAGTTAACTCCTTCTGGGTCTCTACCTTGGTCACATTAGCAAGGACTAACAACATTACAGTGAGTTAACTCCTTCTGAGTCTCTACCTTGGTCACATTAGCAAGGACTAACAACATTACAGTGAGTTAACTCCTTCTGAGTCTCTACCTTGGTCACATTAGCAAGGACTAACAACATTACAGTGAGTTAACTCCTTCTGAGTCTCTACCTTGGTCACATTAGCAAGGACTAACAACAGTACAGTTAGTTAACTCCTTCTGAGTCTCTACCTTGGTCACATTAGCAAGGACTAACAACATAACAGTGAGTTAACTCCTTCTCAGTCTCTACCTTGGTCACATTAGCAAGGACTAACAACATTACAGTGAGTTAACTCCTTCTCAGTCTCTACCTTAGTGACATTAGCAAGGACTAACAACATTACAGTGAGTTAACTCCTTCTGGGTCTCTACCTTGGTCACATTAGCAAGGACAAACAACATTACAGTGAGTTAACTCCTTCTGAGTCTCTACATTGGTACATTAGCAAGGTCTAACAACATTACAGTGAGTTCACTCCTTCTGAGTCTCTACCTTGGTCAAGTTCGCTAGGTCTAACAACATTACAGTTAGTTAACTCCTTCTGAGTCTCTACCTAGGTCACATTAGCAAGGGCTAACAACATTACAGTGAGTTAACTCCTTTTGAGTCTCTACCTTGGTCATATTAGCAAGGTCTAAGTGACAGGAAATATAAGAGAACGCATCGTATTGTTTTACATGGGCCACGCTCGATGTACATGTTTACTGGACTTTTCCTTTTAAATACGAAATCCTTCTAAAAAAAGAGATCATTCATAGTCACAGGACATGCTAATAATAATATGAGGTAAAAGAGAACCAAAATCGTGAATTTAGCAGCAGCAGCTTTGGGCCTTTGGTAAGGGTCTACGGAATACAACAGTTGGTACTGTTCCTGACTTAACAGCCGTGTCGATACCATCGGCAATTCGACATCTCATTTGGCGTCGTCAGCAGTGGAAATGATAGATGACAACAGATAATGTAGGCACAGTTCACAGCAGTAAAGCCAGAGAACTGAATGGAGGATCGTTCCGAGAATAAGACCTGAGATCGAAGCTGTACTTCAGTAATTCCTCCGCACAGATGATAAGAAATTCATCAAGATGGCGTCCATACAGGATGTGTAGGACCTCCGCCAAAACGTAAATCCAACAGAATAGTTCAGGGGTGAGCGCAAAGTCACTCCCAAAAATATTCCCTAACCGAAGACAGTGTCCAGTTCTGAGGGGCAAGGTTAGTTCTCACCAAGGCCTGCATCAGTAACCTGGTTCTCTCAGTGCTGCAGTTGTCGGTGAGAGGTCTTTGCGAATGCTTTAAGTTTGATGTCTGTTATGCAGTAAAGTTGCTTAAATAATTTGAATCACAATGTCACATCGCAGCTGGCATCGTCAACAGTGGAAAACGAGACAATTTCATAGATGAGACAAGAAACTGAATTCTTCAAAGGACAGTTGCAAGTGACGGTGGTTCAAATTGGCTCAGGAAGGTGGTCGACGCCGGACGACGATAAGACTTTTGATAGCATGTTGTACTTTATATTCTCAACACCAATGATATGCTGTTCACCAGCAAGATCACTGCTACACACAGTCATATAGAATATCCATCACAATGTAGGGACCCTTCAATGGCAAACATTAAATTTATGGATGAGCTCCTAAGACGCTTCAACACAGCACCCCTAATGACAGCAGTTGTAGATATCTGTAGTCGGCTCGCAATGATTTGAAGATTTAGATGAGATGCCTTCGCAAGCGGTGTGTTTATGATGTATTTCATGAACTACAAGTACATAATTAATTTGAGCTATATTCAAATCAAATCAAATGTAATGATTCCCTAAAACTTGACATTGATGTTACGACTGTTTCTTACTGTCATTGCTTTGTATTCCGCCGTGGAGACCAGACTGTCGTCTGTGGTCAAGGGTGGCCTCAGTTTGCACATCTTCCTCACAAACGGGAATACTAGGTCCGGGTCAAGGGTCATTGGGTCCGTTCGCCCTGAACATGAACACAGATTAAAGCCTGTGCATGATATCACATGATAAGCAGCGTCGAATGTACTATTCCGACCTAATCGTGTAGTTATGCTGTTAAGAGTTACCAAAACAAAAAATATGCAAATGATTCTTTGGAAAATTCCTCATATAATATTATCGTTGCAAAAAACAGCGTTTGATAGAGGAGTGATTTATTGATTTTTGTTCCTGGTGACAATCTCAAATGAATTGACTGACTGACTGAGTTTGGTTTTACGCCGCTTTTAGCAATATTCCAGCAACATTACGGCGGGGGACACCAGAAATGGGCTTCACACATTGTACCCATATGGGGATTCGAACCCGGGTTCAAATGAATTGATCTCTTAAAGTAATATTTATAGGGGTAATAGTGAAGTGGCGACAGGTTTGCTAAGAAAGTCCCGCAGTTACTTAAATGGAATATTGCAGGTGTTTTTAAAGCGATATTCATCAAGAATTAGTTTTAAAAATTGTTGCCATAAATTAATTTTTGTCTTTTGAAAAATGTTTCCAGGTTTTTGGCATGAAGTTAAGGCCCGTGATCCATGGTATTTTAGTTGGTACACGGAGTGGGCAATGGGGTCAAGGTGTATCAGAAACCAGTGACAGTTTTCTAAAAGAAGGGTCATTTTTGCGTACTTTCACTTTCTTTATCATTTACCTTAATGAAATACAGTTACCAAATTGCTTTTCTCGTCTTGAGGCTTTATAAATTTATCTGCTATACAGTTTACTATTCACACCTATATGAACATATCAGAGTCTATAATATGACATGGCAGGAGAAAGTGATGAGGTTGTTGTCTTGTTCATGATTACATATAGTGCCAGTAAAAGCCGTTATGTCAGGCATCCTAAGGGCAACCTTATTGGCTGCATAGACTATACCTCAGTGAGGGCAAACACCAGGGACATAGTCAATGATAACATCCGGAATACAGTGACTGGTTCCATTATACTTGACGTTGGATGATAAGCTTGCCAATGGTTGATGAATAACATTTTGCATCTTCCACAATGACATAACATAATTAAGTAGTGATACTTGATAAGGGTGTACTTGATATATGTGTACTCACCTGTAATCAAAGATATTAAACATCCCAAAAGCATGGCAGTCAAAGTCCCCGCCAAGCCGTACCAGCAATAGGACACGTCACTGAAGTTGAATGGCTCTGTGGCCAAGCTGAAATTGACAATAAGATAATGTTTTGCTACTGTCCTACGCACTTTTCGTTGTTACTGAAAACGTACATAAAATAACGGACAATGGTTATGAAAAACAAATAATTATCTTATAATCGAAAGAAAATACAAACTTAGACATATATGTAATATTTATATTTATTTATATAGTTGTATTTCTAAATGGCTCCTTTGAAAGATGAACTGGAAATAATTCAACAGAAAAGTAAGACTTATTTATACATGGACACGTACATAAACTCTATTACGTCCCAGGTAGCCAAGGCAATTGTTTATAACAATGCATTTACCTCCTTTCTGTTGGCACCGTGGTTACTTCATACATGGAACTGGCGTTTGAATACGTTGTTGTGCTGTTCCAGACATCTTCTTGGCATGCAAACATTGGTGCCGGGGGTAGAGTGGTAGGCCTCGCGCCGTAGATGTTTGCGGAGATGCTCATCCAAACATTCAATATCAAGGATATCAGGCCCCCGGAAAATGCACCCTTCACAGTAGAAATATCATTTCATTGCAAGCCTGTCTATTATGCAATTCGAATTTGAACTTACACACAATAAGTACTATGTGAAAATGCATCAAAATTCAATCTTTGAAATGCAGTGACATCACGAGAATACATACTCAATGTAATTCTAAAGGAAGTCTCTACTAAACCAGGGTGCATTGTACGATTCCGACAATATCACAATTACTGTGTTATATAGATGATACGCGAAACAGTGAGAATATATGGGACCCATCACAAACTAAGGCAAGTGAATGCATCTCATAAAACACGAGAACATGTGAGAAGGAAGTTGTGAGATCGATGGAGGTAGACATGACGTGAAAGGCAGTTAGTGCTGTAACAAAATGTATCTCATTAACCTATAATCCGTGAAGAATTGGTCTTATTTAACCAAGAAGGGTTCACAGCGTGGGGTACTTTAGAATCAGTGTTTACAGCTTCAGTTTCACTCATCCAAATGCTACCCGTAAAGATCCGGGTTAGAATTGGTCTTCAGCAACCCATGTTTGTCGTAAAAGGCGACCAACGGTATCGGGTGGTCAGGCTCGCTGCCTTAGTTGACACATGTCATCGTATCCCAGCAGCGAAGATCGATGCTCATGAGGTCAATCAATGGATTGTTTACAGTGAGGCTTTAAACAACCAACACTAAACATACTACTTCGTGCAAGAAGAACCTAACTATTTTGTTACTCCACGGCACCAGAGCTCCCAGAAGAAACATGCCCATGACCGGCCCACCGCAAGCTCCGAATGCTGACATAGCCATCTAAAACATTGCAAATAAACATATTCAGCGTCATCCTTGTAATAACTGTTAGTTACAGCCCTAGGAATGCAAACAGTGGCACATTGTTCGCATAATACACACAAAGTCATGGCCCTACAACAAATGCTAAATGTCTTCCAAATTAACAACATGCATGTTTGATTTGGCGATACTTGACTATAGATTTATGGGAATATTTGGATAAACCTTACGCTTACTGTCCATTGGCAGTGAATCATTTATTTCGGAATTTGTGGTCCAAATGGCATTCGAGTAATAACTTGTTATTGTGAGTGATTACCTGAGTGACAGGTCCTTGTAGGGATTTAGCAGCATAGGCCAGACCGATGGCCAAGAGGCCGAAGAAACATACTAGAACATAACAAAGGTATATACCGACATAATGTCCAATGAAACACTATACAATATCGTCCAATCGAAGAAATTCATTACACCATCCATTTATACTTTTCATGACGGGTTCGATTCCCCACATGGGTACAATGTGTGAAGCCAATTTCTGGTGTCCCCTGTTGTGATATTGCTGGAGTATTGCTAACAGCGGCGTAAAACTCACTCCCACTTTTCATGAACTTTTCATGAAATGTTCTGTTAAAAAGGACATTAGATGACAACTCCAGGCTACATAAGAAAACCTACCAACTGGTTGGGTTATCTTCTAGTTAATATGGTGGCTTCAGCCTGACCAGGTTCTTGACGTAAAGCCAGCATCATTTGGATTTTTCATATGTATGTGAAAAGTTGTTTACCTGATACTTTAGCTACGATCGTGACGAGTCTCTCAGATCTAATCCTCCGAAGGGATGGGCCAAGGACATCTTCTACAGTGTTGGCAGCCAAAGCGTTTATTCCAGATGATACGGTGCTGGTATGAGATAAACAGAAGCATTCAACAACAAAACAAAGAACACACCAATAACGTCACAATGATGACACCTTTGAAGCGACAGTTACATATGCACATCAATAACTGAAACTCAGTAAACGCCTGTTTGGCGTGAAACTGAAAGTACGTGTTCGAATTCCATGTAGGTGTCTTATTGGATTTTTGCTGCAATATTGCTAAAAGCGGAGCATACTCAATCGGAATAAGTGTATACGATGACGTACCTGAGAGCGCCACTGAACAATGTTGACATGTACAAACCGGTAGCTCCGGGGAAGGTTGACAATATTTGCATCACATAGTACGGCATCAACTGGAATAGTAATTCCATAACTGCAGAGAGACTAAGATGACTGATGCTTCACTTGAAGCCACAATACATCGATCCTTTTTCAGGAAGGATTCACAGGGTGGGATACTTTACAGTCAGTGTTTACAGTTTCAGTTTCACTAATTCAAACAAAGAGAGTAAGAGATATATTGCGATAGGCGTTTTGTTTGCTTGGTGCATTAAACTTTCAACCGGAAGTGACATCTTTTTATGCGTTGTTTTTAACGCCCTCGTCGCAATAGAAATGTAATGGAAAATTGTAATAGAAATATGACGATTTCTTGTAAATATTTAAGACAATCAATGATGATGTGATATGGTGAGCAATACAAGCCACAAAAACATTTCAGTAATGATAAGAAGTCAGTGTATGATTCCCGTTTTTAGATCGTATTCTTCTCTTTAGTGATAAGTTTTTATTATAACATTCTAGTTTTACCATGCTATCTGTGATACTCTAGTAGTTTTACTGTCCATCGTCGACAGTTTTTTATCTTTATTTCATAAAATGTCCTCGTCACGATATGGCTGAAATGTTGCCGATGTGACGATGAATATTAACTCACTTACTCACTGTGTATGATCCGTCATAAACCCACGTTGATGAATCGCTATCAATTAATCGCCGCCATATAGTTGAATTATTTCCGAGTGCGGCGTTAAACAACAAACAAATCCCCGACCGCGTCATACCAAAAGACGTTAAAATATGGTACTTGTTGGTCCCTGCCTGGCGCTCGGCATTAATGGGTACAACAAGGACTGGTCGGCTCGGAGTCAGTATAATGTGTCTGAGTGGGGTATTCATGCTTCACTGCGGCATGGTATCTCAGTGGGCTAGCACTATAAAACCAGCTTAAGTCTGGGCTAGTACAAGCAGCCGCACATACACATACACACGCATGCACGTCGTCATATGAGCGAAATATTCTTAAGCACGACGTAAAACCCATTTTCACCTCACCTCACAACAAACAAATTAAACAAACGCTATTAATTAATGACGATACACGATATTTTTGCCTCATCGGTGGCGCAACCACATGCGAAGTCAACATTGACATTCCACGTTATACATTGATCAGCATCTAAATACATCTCAAGTAACGTGTTTGTGTTTTGTGATGTTTCATCCATGATCTACCTGGTTGCGGTTTGTCACGTCTCCATCTTCATAAGGATCACATCCCTGTGTATAGAAAAACCCAAACAAAACTAATCCTGTTGCCCATAGTAACAAGCCATAGAGTACCATGAAAATGGTATTCAGAAGGTAGCACCTAAAACAAACATGGATTTTAAGTTAGTTTAAGAATCTGCAAACGAATTTTAGAAATATGCAAGCGACTTAAATGGCCTTAAAAGTCTATATATTATGAATAGTAAACATTATAAACGAAAATGCAAAAGGGATAAATATCAACTTTGCTAATAAAATAATCAGATTTTTGTTAATATGATGACATTATTATCACAGTATATATAAAGAACCCAGACAAATCCACTACACCCTAAACACATTTAATTATCATTTTTCTTTCGTATGTTGTTTACCGCCATACTCAGCAATATTCCAGCTAAATGGCGTCGGACTGTAAATAATCGAGTCTGGATCAGACAATCCAGTGATCAGCAGCATGAGCATCGATCTACGCAATTGGGATACACTAACATATGTCAACCAAGTCGGCGAGCCTGACCACCCGATCCCGTCAGTCGTCTTTTACGGCAAACATGGGTTGCTGAAGACATTTCTTCACGGTAATCATGCCATGTGATTAAAGCATCATGTGACTTAATTACATATTTATATGGTCTGCACGATGGCCATGGGGTTTTAAACCAGAATCGTTCGCACATGGATGACAGCATTCGTGAAAGGTTTCATGCACAGAGGCAAATTCCTTACCAGTGTGTCCTGCTGTATCTACAGAAAATGACATTACAAACATTCTATAGATGAACAACAAATACTCGGTTTTGTTACTCACATTTTTGCACCTTTCAGCGATTTGATTGCAAAGGTTCTTTGTCCCACTGATTGAGTGAATAGATTGACGAACCAGTTGAAGAAAGCACCAATCAAAAGACCCCATAGTGTATGGCGTACTCGTGGATCTGGATTAATTCTGTGGAAAAATGTTATCTAACAAAATCACGCGTAACGTTTTCTACCGACTACAACTTCAATGTTAAATATCAGTAATTACATCATCTCACATTGTAATCGAAATGATAAACTTAGGAGTAACGGAAACCTCTCAGTTTAACAGGTTGTGAAATGAACTGTACTGGCGCTTAGGCAGCAATCAAAGAATACTTGTGCATTATTAATTATTATAGAATTTGATTTCTAAACTTTGGCTTTTGCAACTTCAAAACGTACGTACCTCCGTCTTAAATGAAACAATCTATTGGAATGAGTATTGGTTAGATAGCTACAACAAAATCCCACAGTTCAAAAATGGCAGTAGAGATAAAACTGAATTGTGTATGAAAATGTTATAAAATGTATTCGAAGTCACGCTCAACATGGCAAAATATCCAGTGATATTCTGGATATTTCTTATTCTTATTCTCGTGATATTTGCTGCTATGTAATCAAACTGTAAAACAGTACCACACTGACAATATAGGTCCGTCTCCTATTCTCGCGGGTTTCCTATTCTCGCGGTAAATACGTTTTCTGCCGAAATCGCCGATGCGTGACACTTAGCGGTTGTTTACATCACCGACTGGTAACTAGGAAGTGGACCAAGTCGGTGAATAATCAAAATCTTGCAGTGTCACGAATATTGGGGAGTTTATACCAACTTGGACATATCATTACTTTTTCCCGCCCTTTCCGGCAGGATGACTCTTACATACACTCAATAACGTTAATTCCTCGTAATACCGCGAGAATAGGAGAAGCCTCATTTCGTCAATGGCGGATGGCATTGTTTATCACCGGGCTCATGAGTGGTAATTCACCTGATGGATCTGGCAGCTGATAGATGTAGATGATAGAGGAGAAGGCCCTTCATTTAAAAACAACAAGCATTCATACGATAAGAATTGTTTATGTTATTTTTTCAGCCGATATCCGTAAGTACCGCGAGAATAGGAAACGCCTTCCTACTAGCTAAACATTACAGATCGGGATTTACTCGTCAAGCTCCAGTCGTCTTTCCTGGGTTGCGATTCTGAGGACATTCAGTACACCTCCAGATCTCACCACTCCCTAGACGAAAGAAAGAAAATAGATTTATGAGATCCAGGCTTGAATGAATCTCCAGCAAGTCATCCTTGGCGCCCGATTACACAAGGATCGGTTGTCATGCATGTCGCAGTTTCCAAATGGTATACTAAAATGCTCATGTTTTCAATGTCACCATCATGCCTTTTGCATTTTCTCAAGCGAGTCTATAAATAACAGGATACAACTAAACACAAAAAGGAAAAGAAGCGAATTAGATTCAGTTACGAACATATATCCCCTCATACTATATGGCGCTAAATATATCCAGTGACCATTTGTATTTCTTGTACCCCAAAATATGAAGACATATTTACTCAAATCTGGATGCACGAAACAACGCACCAGTAGCAACAAAGCAAAACTCAAGGGCATGCTCGATGACCCGACATAGTAATAATAATCCCAATTCTACAGATCGTACGTTAATGATGAAAGAACATAAAAAATCACTCAGTGAATCTGATTCATGTGAAATCATCGAAAAAATGTCCCTGTCCCTCATTTGCTCATAATCTACGTCTCGGTTTATGTATTACATCGTAACAAAGAACACCAAAATGATTCTATTCAAGAATAGAAAAAAATGAATGTTGATGAAGAATGATGACAATTTTTATGGCTATAGAACTTCTTTTATTGTGAAAGGCTATGTTTCGACATAGATTCTGATGTCATCACATGCTTGAGAACGACACTATATGTCGAAACGTCGCCTTTCACAATAAACGAAGTTGTATAGCCATAACAAATTGTCATCATTCTTGATGTTGTCTGGCTGAACTGTCCACAAGACAGGTGATATCAGGCTTTTATTGTATCATGTCAATGTCTATAAAGTATCCAAATATATTTTAGTTAACAGTATTTAGTGACAAATGTCATTCCTAACCGAAGGGCCTTCAAGAAATGCACATACTTACAAGAACTATTGAGGTGACGATTCCTGCCAGCATAATGAATGACTGGAACACGTCTGTCCACACCACACTCTTGATGCCACCCTAAGAAGAAAGTCATCAAGATTCCATTATCAGTATTGACTACAGAATAAACAATAAGAAAAGTTCCAAACAGAGGGTGCCTGAATACACATTACCTTGTAGAACGTGGTCAGATGTAACATATTCGGGATTACTCTTTCTAAAAATAAGATGAAAATTTAACTGTTAAGATTTTTTATGCCGTCGGGGATTCGAACCAGTTATTTCTTCTTATATTTCGAATCCCTGGAAATAAACCCTGAAAAGTATTAGAATTTGTACTTTAATATGAAATTGTAATCACAAATTTAACATGTTTTACAGAAGAAGGCATGTTTGAATTCAGTCACAGAAACATGTAATGCCAAGTTGGAATGTTAAGTGACTTGCCTCTTCTATGGAGAATAGTGGGTAATACGAGAACAACGGGAATGGGCTAAGAACGGTGAGTATGTAAAACGAGCCCTGGAGAGTTTGAGGATGTATGAGATGTTTTGAAGTGTAACTCACTATGGAGGTGTAGATCGTGCCGACGAGACCAACAATCACTATGGACCACCATAACGGAAGACCAGCCACTAGGCAATGAAATCAGGCAAACATTATAGAAATGCGGCAAAACAATTGTCACAATCATATGAAATCTCTGCTATAAAATCAAAGATCCAGATATACCATAAGCATATTTCTACATATCCTTATCAAATAGTGAAGGGTCATTGATTCTCTTTTCAAATAGGCTTGGTACATTGATGCTTTCCCACAGAAGCACACACACAAAAAAATCTAAATAAATAAATAATAAAAAAACACCCTGATTAAATCTCATCTTAGGCGACTAAAATATCACGTACAGGAATGTATATACTTTCAAGCAAAAACAAATGAGACAACTTTTGATTCAACATCTGAATTTAATATTTGACATAAATTGATGAAAATTGGCACAAATGTACACAACGCTTAAATCTTTCTCAATGAGTCAATAGTCAGTCAGTCCATCATTTCGCTCCAAACACTGTTCAATCCGACGAGGCATGGAATTTACAAGATTGACTATCAGTTCTTCAGATAGCTCGTACCGTTTCACGTATCACACGTTTCCACTCTGCAATGTCTTTTGGTTCCAACTTTTCCACTTTGTCCGTAATGATTTGCCAAAACATTTCAGTGGGGTTCAGGTCCGGTGAAGCGGCAGGAAAATTCATTACTTTGTATGTATGTTCATCTCACGAAGCCATGTTTTGGTGTGAGCGGATGTGTGAACACGGGCATTGTCCTGTTGCATAACAAAGGGAATTCCACTTTGTCCAATATTTGAATCTAACAGTCCCTCTTGTAAGAGCTCGCAGTACTTCCCTGAATCAATGCGACCTGTAATCTCCAAGAGCAGCGTTAAGCCCAATTCCCCAAACCCACCCCACACCATCACAGAAGGCGAGAACTTCGGGCACATTTTTTCGCACTTTTCTTCTCGAAACAACCTTTTCTTCGTAATTCTGAAAAATTGGAACTTAGATTCGTCAGTAAATATCCATTTTGAAAAGTCAGTGTCTCTAGTTTCACACCACTCCCGTCATTTCCGTTTATGCACTGGAATTGAATGGAATCTTTGTCGCCACTTTCTTCAAAATTCCCGGTTCTTTTAAATTCCTCCTAACAGTACATTCATACACTGGTGTACTCCCTAAAGCTGGGGCACGCTGACCTAGTTGTTTTGCTGACCAGTGTGGATGCACCATAGCCAATTGTGCGAGTTGTCTCCTGTCATTCACACCGAGTTTACGTGGACGTACCAATCCCGTCTAGCGCCGAAATCTGGCTGCTGCTTGAAATCTGGCAAAAAGTCGGTAAATGGTACTTCTAGGTAACCCCGACATTTTCCTCAACTTCTGAACTGATTTGCATCCTGCTCCATATAAAGCGAGAAGTCGATATTTCGCATCGGTTTTCGTCAGCAACTAGGAAGTCGTCTGCTAAAGCGTCATCATGTGACCCGACCCACCGGCAGGGGAGATAATGCCGAGAACGTCATCTTGATGTCAAAGGAACAAAATATTACGAAATGTTCAAATTCACCGCGCGGCGACCCACAATCTACTTTCAAAAATGTCTCTCTTTTTTTTGCTCGAAATCAAATCGGCAATAAGTCGATGGTACTCCTAGGTAACCCCGATATTTTCCGCAACTTCTGAGCTGATTTGCACCCTGCTTCATATAAAGCGGGTAGGCGATACTTCCGTTTTCGACATAACGTCTACATAACGAATACGTACATAACAAACTGACGGATATATGATACTTGTTGTTTTGTCCCGACCAGTTTTAATCGAAGTACGTGCATGAACTACTCTGAATATAACGAACTAAAGTTAGTAGAACTTTTGAGTTAAAACCGTAGTTTTATTCGCTTGCGGAAACGGTACATGGAAGTGGCGTTTCAAGTAATTTCTCTTTGCATAAACCGGAACAGGAACCGGAACAGGAACGGGAACATACCTGTCTGGAGTGCCAGCGCCGGTGACAGTAGGGCAATGGCCATGTAGGCAGCCTATAGAAAGAGAAAATAGAGTTGTTTTATTGTGCTGGAGGCCTAAACATAGATATTAATGAACATAGGATACCCATGTTGATCTGCAGGTGAGTCATATCTATTGTTAGCAAATAAAATTGATGTCGTTTCAAAGGAAACTTTTTATATTCAAGATACGATTAAGATTATGTTAAGATGTAATTTCATGGTCAACCTTCACCTACCGTCTGCAACATACCGATACACGTCCCAAGAAGACGAACAGCAGTCGAATCAAATCGCATTCCAAGATACTGAAAGATAAAAATAATCGTTTTCTAAAAATAAATGATTGTACACATCATTTCGATATACAATTGTATAAAGAATTTGATGAACATAAAAGAAGCAGCATATATTGTACCTTGGCACTGAAGGATATGTGATTCTCATTATGCCAACGTCCCTAGTATGGTGATCTACCTTCGGTCGTTGGCGACCACTAGCCCAGTTTTTACATGTATTGTCTAAGCTAATTTTCTACTTTTAAAAATAATACTAGCTAGTTTTACTCTTTTTGTGATACTCTAGTTATTTTACAGTCCGTCGATGTCTGGTTATTTAATTACTTGTATTCATTGTGTATGTACAACATTTCTCGTCACTATATGGCTGAAATATTGCCGGGGTGACGTTAAATTTTAACTCCCTCACTCAGTATGCCAACAATAACGTGTATTTTAGACAAGAAACAGACACGTAATATGATATCGATCTCTCAACAATTGCTGTTAAGAAGGCCCATTAGAATGTATGTGTTCAATATCAGGACAACGGTTTATAAAATACAATGAAATCTGTTTGTGATCTCACTCTCGCATACATAAAACACACACAACTATTGCGTCAGATACCCATTAATCACATACACGAGATATATACCTCTCATGCGTTGTCTACAGCCATTTTGTGTTTGCAAGAACAATTGAGAATGTTAGGATATAATTTTGACCTACATGTTCTAACATAAGTTATATTTGGGATAACACTTTCTTACTGAAGTGCAGATTCTAGTACTTTGGGTGGACGTCGCGGTGGCTGAGCGGGTTAGGCGGCTGACTGTGTGCTGGCGATTAGATGCCAGAGGGTGTGGGTTCGAATCCCGAATGGGACTCAACCCAACGAAAGTACTAGAATCTGTAGTTTACTAAGAAAGTGTAATCCAAAATATAACATATGTAACATTTGACCACTTTCTAAATGGCATTGTGTAAACTAAATGTTCTAGTCTACACACTTTTGTTATCACAGAATAATCGCGTTTATTTACAAACAAGAGAAATGTCCTGCAACGTGGTATGCAAATTAGCCTGCTGCAATGTTGTATGCGCCCGAGTATGAAGTTGACCGAAATTACAGATCGATCATGCCATGGTTGAAGTCACTCGAATCTGTTGATTCCTGAAGGCAAATCGACTCAAACCTTTGGTGCACACGGATGCTAATGGCAAAAACTACAAATTCAGCATCAAAAATATATTATTGGGTCAGAAACATGTTCATCTGGGCGTATTATTGGATCAGAAACATGTTTATTTTTTATTTGGGGTATGTTTATTTGCATAAAATTGGGTATAATTGGATCAGAAACATGTTTATTTGGGGCTTATTATTGGATCAGAAACATGTTTATTTGGGGCATATAATTGGATCAGAAACATGTTTATTTGGGGTATATTATTGGATCAGAAACATGTTTATTTGGGGCTTATTATTGGATCAGAAACATGTTTATTTGGGGCTTATTATTGGATCAGAAACATGTTTATTTTGGGTATATTATTGGATCAGAAACATGTTTATTTTGGGTATATTATTGGATCAGAAACATGTTTATTTGGGACATATAATTGGATCAGAAACATGTTTATTTTGGGCTTATTATTGGATCAGAAACATGTTTATTTGGGGCATATAATTGGATCAGAAACATGTTTATTTGGGGCTTATTATTGGATCAGAAACATGTTTATTTTGGGTATATTATTGGATCAGAAACATGTTCATTTGGGGCTTATTATTGGATCAGAAACATGTTTATTTGGGGCATATTATTGGATCAGAAACATGTTTATTTTGGGCATAAATTGGATCAGAAACATGTTTATTTTCGGGCATATAATTGGATCAGGAAACATGTATATTTGGGGCTTATTATTGGATCAGAAACATGTTTATTTTGGGCATAAAATTGGATCAGAAACATGTTTATTTTCGGGCATATAATTGGATCAGAAACATGTTTATTTGGGGGTTCATTTGGGGCTTATTATTGGATCAGAAACATGTTTATTTTGGGTATATTATTGGATCAGAAACATGTTCATTTGGGGCTTATTATTGGATCAGAAACATGTTTATTTGGGGCATATTATTGGATCAGAAACATGTTTATTTGGGGTATATTATTGGATCAGAAACATGTTTATTTGGGGCTTATTATTGGATCAGAAACATGTTTATTTGGGGCATATAATTGGATCAGAAACATGTTATTTGGGGCATATAATTGGATCAGAAACATGTTTATTTGGGGCTTATTATTGGATCAGAAACATGTTTATTTGGGGTATATTATTGGATCAGAAACATGTTAATTTGGGGCATATAATTGGATCAGAAACATGTTTATTGCGGGCTTATTATTGGATCAGAAACATGTTTATTTGGGGCATATAATTGGATCAGAAACATGTTTATTTGGGGCTTATTATTGGATCAGAAACATGTTTATTTGGGGCATATTATTGGATCAGAAACATGTTTATTTGGGGCATATTATTGGATCAGAAACATGTTTATTTGGGGCATATAATTGGATCAGAAACATGTTTATTTGGGCAATGTAGTTTTAGGTACACATACCTCGTAAACGCTGGTGATCCCGAGTGGATACATGAGCGGCAGACAGGTATACATCCCAACAATATATACCGATGCCATCGCTACATACTGATACATCGCCATTGAGCCAAACGTATAGATCTCAACAGGAACACCGAGTAGCGAAATGGCTGACGCCAAGGTCACAAACATGGATACGGCCACAGAGAAGACACCCATCTGTCTGTTTCCCAGCAGGTAACCTTCCTTTGTGTCCTTTTCACGGATAGCGAAGAAGATGCCAATTCCGAGAGAGATACCCAACATAATACAAAGTACGATATAGTCTACGGTTCCCAAAGTTTCTGCTGCCGCCATCTTGATGTAGAACATGAACCACATTCATTGGAAATTGCCCGATATATATTTATATATCTTGCTTCTATGTGTTGCATTGCTATATGCAGGGTCACGAAACTCGTGCCCATGCATACATGAAATTCAACTTAGTGAAAGATCTGGTCCGATGAGAAATGTTGAAAACTAGATAGTCCTTTGCATTCCACCGGGAATATTGCTGTGTATACATGGTCGCCCTAGTCTATATCTTCAGCTGAAAACAATGTTCTTAGTATTAATCTGCTAATGTCAGTACATCTAGTACTGTTGTATCACTGGGGCTTGCAAATAGACTAGTGATTGATATAATGATGCACGACGGTGGTAACCAAGCAACAAGGCCAAACACAACCTTGAGACGAATATTGAGTACTCTCACATTCTCAGTCATAGTTTTAAGTTTGAAATATGTAAGCCATCACATGAATCACTTTCATGAGGAGTTCGCTGAATATATCTAAAATCGACCAGATCAAATCAAATCAACATATGATGAAAATACCATGACACATGTTCGCAACAGTAAAGTTAATAAGGATATCTACCAAAGATTCATTGTGAGAAGCTCTTTTGTTGTGTCCATGGTGGTAGGGTGGCTAAGTGGCGAAGCTTTAGCTTGTATTGGGAAACGTATGATTCTTAGCACGGATAAAGCTCTGAATCCTGATTGTGGGTTCATTGTGGGTTTACTGAATTACTAGCGCCGGGGAACTTATTAGAGGAAATACGGTAATATTTAAAGCGACTCTGAATCCTTCCACTCCCTTACACATGCTTACGGATATTCAAACGGCTTCAGGGATTAAAGGTGTTGATATTGGCCATGTCGAGACTTATAGATTTATCTTATAAACATCCACTTTTAATTAAAATAATTGAATTATATAATGAACTTGCTACTGGCCAATGCGACATCGTCTTCTGTTGGTTACCCAGCCATGTTGGAATTTGTGGTAACACAATGGCCGATTTGGCTGCTAAGGCAGCACTCGACAAGTCTGTGGCACCACTTCTGATGCCTTACAGTGACACCAAACCTGTTAAACCTGAATCCGGGATTCAATGCAAAAGAAGAGAGACATCCAAGTGGGTATCAATAAATTACATTAAATGTAACCCTATATTGGTTACACCTACTTGGGTTGTCAGTTCAGATTTGAAGAGATCATTTTAAGACGTTGCCATTTTTGGCGGTACAAGATGTACACATGAGTCCTATTGAAAGGTGATTTTGTGCCCCGTGTGATGAGAGAATCACGGTCAAGCATGTCCTGCTTGACTGCATTGATTCTTCCATCTCAAGGGATCAATATTTCTAATCAGTATCAATGAATGATCTTTATCACAGTATTAGTTTACGTTTAATCATTGTTGTTTTTTTATAGGAAATTGAATTAATTGACAAATTTTGATGTATATAGTTAAATATCTTTATAAAGTCATGATATATTTATTATACCATGGCGATGCCCTCGACAGGGGTTGAAGTAACGTAAAATGATTGCCCAGCCAAGTCTCTCAAGGTATGTTTATATCTACCAATTGTTTTTATTATCGAAGTATATTTGTTCCTTTATTTGACGGCTAAATAGGGATAGCCGGCTGTAGGGATAGCGTAAATGCGGCTTGGGTCCATGCAGGTAGCAAAAGGTCCCTAGTGTGGTGATCTACCTTCAACTGTTTGCGATTAATAGTCAATTTTTACATTGTATTGTTCAAAATAGTTTTCTTCTTTTAAAGATATATCCTAGCTAGTTTTTACTCTTTATGTGATAGCCTTGTTGTTTTACTGTAATTTGCCAACATATGTCAGAGGAAACTTTATTTCTCATCAATGTAAACCTTGTTTTAGTCACGATATGACTGAAATACTGCCAATGTGACAAATAATCTTAACTCACTCAAACTCGAGTATGAGGAGTACATGATTCCGTAAAATCGTCAATGTCAAGTAGTCTATAAATAGTCAACATCAGCAGTGTCTGAACACTAACTATTGTTTGTGGGAAGGTGTTCGAAATCGGTGTAAAATCAGTTAAAAACTTGAACACTCAGATGATCGAAACATTTGATTGTGCACTTCGTATATGGCTGTTTTACTGAAAATAGAAACTTACGACATATCACATATCCACTCATGGATATATTGTAACGTGCCAGTTTACCATATATTTGAAGGAAACCAGATACATGTGTAATGTTTAGAATGGATAAATATTAATTACTTGTGGAGATTGGAAAATATTTTATATCTTGGATTACTTCGTGCAGATCATGATTATGATTCATTGTGATCATTATCCGTGATCATGATTGCGTCAACACGTTTCCCAAATGACAGATGAGCATACTGACATACTTTGCCCATCAAGTTCTGTCCATCCATACAAATTTACTGACTTACATTGTCCATTAGGCCATGTACATGCATACATATTTACTGGCATAGCTAATGTTACCACTTCATGTCTTAAAACTGGCTGACGTCCAGGACGGAAGTAAAGGAAGCAATCCGATTGGTTCACGTAACGCTTTCCTCAGTGAGTGAATGGGTTGGTTTTACGCCGCTTGTATCAAATTGAATATTCCAGCAATATTGGGGAGGAGAGAGAGAGAGAGAGAGAGAGGAGGGTGTGTGTGAGAGAGTGTGTGTGAGTGTGTGTGTACGCCAGAATTGGGCACCACACAGTGGGGAATAAAACCTAGGTCTTCGGTGTGACGAGCGAACGCTTTAAACCACTAGGCTACCCTTCCGATCCTCGTTTTCCGGGAGATGGGAGGTTTGGCATTAACATGTGACATATACATTTGTTGTTTCCTTGCCTGGGGATCTGCATTTAAGGGGACACAGCTCGTAATAGGAATAATGTAAAAACGAAACTGAAATATCTCATTAAAGTGTACAAAATATGTATTCCTCTGAAAACCGATAATCTCCTAAACATACAAAAATCAAAATCAGTTTTTCTAATTATAAGAAAGCTTTACTTCAAAATCCATTGTAATCCAGTACGACTATTACACAAGCATGTGTCGATGAATCGTGTCCAACTGGTGATTACAGGTGTTTGCGAAAAAAAGACCACCGTAGCCATGCAAAAGACCCTATAAAACCGATAGCCACCGTAACAACTTTATCAATGACGAGGCGCTCCTGAACGTTGAGTGAGTATGGTTTTATAAAATCACTGTGGGGACACCACTAGGCTCACACACTTGTACCCACCGGAAGTCGTCGCCGTCAACTTTAAATATATAAAATCATAGTTCAGGGCTTATTTTAATAATAGTTCAGGGCAAAAGTGTACTTTATTATACTATACATGAGGGTAGACCGAACTGTATTCTTAATTCTAAGATGCTTCGCTAAAAGATCAAAGACACGGACAGTCAACGTTTTTCGCATGACTTCACACTGTATTGTCGTCACTACGCCATGCTCATCTGTCCCCTCGTTATCAAACGTAACCGTGGTACAGACGTCACGATACATGTCAGTTGTCATCGCCTCGTACAGTTTCCTTCAGTAAACTACTCCGCAGCACCCCGTTTCTTGGTTTGCAGTTGCTTCACTCGGCAAACATCACTTGTGGGAACATTACGTTGAACCTTTCCCGACTTACAGTTAAATAGTGACACGGTAAACAAAGCCTATGCCCACAGCCCCACAATGCATCCGTGGAATGTCGGGTGACTAGTACCATTGGTCTGGGATATCATGGATGTGTGTGGACATTACCCATTCGACAAGACTGTCGTTGCCGATTGCTGTGCAATCAAGACTGAATGGACTTCATTCCAGAAAAGACTCGATTCGTTTAAAGACTGGCCAGTGCAGATGAAACAGAGTCCTAGTCAAATGGCTCAGGCAGGATTTGTGTACTTAATCAGAGGGGACGCTTGCAAGTGTTTTCAATGTGGTCTCGTTCTCAAGAACTGGGAAGTAGATGATGATCCCTGGGCCGAACATGAAAAATGGTCTCCTGATTGTCCGTATTTGGCCCTGGTGGGAGTACCTCAGAAAGAGGTGACCCGTTGGTGTAGTCATGTGGATTTGCAACCAAGAGTGTGATGTAAAATGTGTGACTATTGGAAATAAATCAATGTTAAGAGTATGTCTGCCTTGGTTGTCTATGGATAGTATAAATAGAGGTTGACTCAAATACTAATCTCACTGAGATCCCAACCACGATAAGAGTTTGTTTGCTAGAAATAGTATGGCTAGGTACGTGTTAAAACATTACGAATTTTTAAGGTTCATGTTAATGTTTCAAGACATTGAGGAGATTCGACAAGACATCTTAGAAATGAACAGAGAACAGATTATCGCCATCAATGGTATTATCAATAGGTTATTAAGGGAAGATTACCAGTGACTCGATATGAAAGGCGTCGTTTCCTGAGGAAAACTGATAGAAATAACTATCTAGCGGTGTTACGAAGATTAGTTCACCCTGTGGACGACAGACAGTAGGTGGAAGAGTCTTTTGCCAGTAACATGCCAATCGTAGCATTTGTTTTGAAACCACAGTTTGTCAATGCACTTAGAGATGAGGCCATTCAAAATGCCTGGTTGTTTGACAGAGCATCGGCTTAGTATGTTTGGTACACCGGTTTAGTTTCTCATAGTAGTGCATCCGAAACATCCTGGCAGCGATGTTGAAAGCTATACCAAGGTCAATGAAGATATCTGTATAACAGGCCACAAGGGCTATCTAACTTTATTTAGCCGTGGACCAGCGACAGTGACGCATCACCTCAGACCGCTCCGTTTTCATCATGAATAATCCACGATACAAACTCTTCGTACCCGATGCGAAAAATGGACACGATTTTACATGCTCAGGGCTGAAGGGAAAGGAGACCCTTATCATTCTATAACACGTGGAGGAGAAAAATCTGCCATGTTGTCTGTCGATCGATATTTGGAACTGTATGATCCAGAGTGGAAGAAAGACAAACAAAACCAGAAACCACAG